CCCACGGCGGGGGGGTTGGACTAGATGACCTTTAGAGGTCCCTTCCAACCCAAACTATTCTATGATTCTATGATTCCCCAATCCAACTGCCTTGACAAAGGCCTCATTCCTGGGGGCCATCAGCCTTAAGCAGCAGCTGGGGCTGCGTGGAGCTGCCCGGTCACCCACCCCAGGGACCTGCACAGCTTCTGTCAAGTGCTGAGCTGTCCCAGGCCATTTGTGAACTGGGGCTTTTCACTGCACGGGTTCCCATTGGCATGGCTTTCTGGCACCTGGGGACAAGGCTACAGCAAAGTCACTTCTGCCCTCACTTAGTGGGTTGATAAATAATGACACAGGGGAGCTTCTGTGTGTGTCAAACGCTGTTCTCACAAGAAGCGTCTCTCTACATTGTGCACTTTGGAGCACACTTCTCTTCTCACATCCAGTCTGTGAATACAGAAACGCATAGGGCCACTTTTCGTATCTCGGGGGCGTCAGCTGGGCCTGTGTTTCAAGAGCTCTGCTTACAGTCACGGTGTCTGCCTGCCGTGCTGTGAAAGTCACCGAGTGCCCCCTTTCTGCAGCCTAGCTACGTGTGCTTTACCAAGGCAAACTCACTCTTGTTGCCACATTCCCTTTGTGGCGGTCACTCTACGCAGGTCTGAAATTTAAGGTCGGAATACTAGTCCTCCCACGGACCCCGGCTACAGCTTGAATTTCCCTGGGTAGCCATGAACCGTTCCAGGGCTTGGCAGCGTTTATGCAATCAGGACAAATCTTCAGCCTCTAACTGGTCTGCCGCCATGCCCGAGCAGCGACACGCGGGCAGGGTACAGCTGCGCATGCATGTCTGTCTTTTCTGCCTCTTACAGCATGGCGTCGAGGACACGGCAGCAGAATGCGAAAGGCTGGGAGCCACTGTTCAAGCCTTCGTGGTGGACTGCAGCAAAAGGGAGGAAATCTACAGCGCTGCAGAGAAGGTAGGGGAGCAGGGGCACGTCCAAAGGCTTACCCAAACGTGCTCGGTTTTCAGAAAGGTCAGGCAAACAAGAGAAGAGGTACTGTACACAAGTCATGCCAGCCCTTGGACTCTCCCCGCTTCTGGCTGCTTTCTGTACGGAGAGTGAAGTAGCACTTCCGAGATCGCAGCCAGTCTCATCCTCTTTTGTGAGGCTCTGGCGTATCGCGCCTTGTTGCCAAGTTTGCTCTTTAGGCTTCCAGCTCCTGAAGGAACTTCTGCTTTTTAGTTTCCTGAACAGCACACAGACAACACTGGGGACATTTGAAACATTTTATTGTAAAGGATATGGTCCAGCTGGCTCAAAACAGTCTGTACGTCCATAGTCCCAACTGTGAGTACGCAGAGCATACTGTGTCTGTGGGCAACGTGTGGAAGACTGTAAATACTGGCAGTAATTAAGGGAGAAGCATCAGAGCTAAACCAGCTTTCATGGTACTACTGCACAGTTCCTACCACATCTGGAAATGTGGCGCCATCTTCCTCTCCCTAAAAGGAACAACGTTAAGAATTAAATTGTCGCTCATCTTCCACAGCCTTGCATTTTTTTGATAACTAATGACACGCACCTTTCTGGGCTTTTTTCTGTCCAAAAGGTGAAAAAGGACATTGGGGATGTCTCCATCCTGGTGAATAACGCTGGCGTGATTACAGCTGCCGACCTGCTCTCGACTCAGGACCACCAGATTGAAAGAATGTTTGAAGTCAACATTCTTGCTCACATCTGGGTAAGGGCCACTACCATCTTCATACCTACGTTTTTTGGGGAGCGTTGCTGAGGAGGCATAGTTAGACTAACAATTATTTTCAGCAACCAGTGAATTACAGAAGCGTCTTTCGGACATGTATAGCACAGGGGCACCCAGCTAGACTGACTGCTGGGAAACCTGATTATCCTCTTGCTGATCTGAGCCTGGCCCAGTTTTTTCATTCTCTCTTTCCTCTGCGTGAGCTAGCCGGTGGCAGCCTCATCTGCAGCATGGGTTGGTCTCTGTCAGAGGTGTATTAGGGTTCTCTTTGCATCGGGTAGTTTCGGCACCTGCAGCATAGCGCCGAGACCCTGCAAGTAGAAGATACACAGCTGAAACATACAAAGCAATGTTTTTATCGGCTGAACCGCACAAAGGGCAGCCGGCACGTGGCCCGAATGGCCAGGCAGGGCCTGGCAGGTGCGGGTCGGGCAGAGCAGGGGAGGGGAGGGCCAGCCCCACAGCTCCCAGCACAGCCCAGCTGCAGGGCACAGCGAGGCCTGGCCCCTCCCTGACTGCACCCACCAGCCCAGCCGATCTCCCTGGGTGCTCTTCCCCTCGCGGTTTGTACCTCGCTGTGTCGCCACCTTCCCTCCTGTCTCCTTGAGCTACTTCTGAGCCCGTCTCCCATCATCAACCCCGCCTCTCCTCGTGTTTTGTACCTCTCTCATCTCTCTGCGGACTTTCTCCCAGCAGCCTGAGTCAAGGTGACACAGCTGGGCCCTATCAGAGCTGAGCCCTGGGTCTTTGGCATGCCTGCAGCTGACCCCTGGGGTAGGGCAGCTGCCAGCAGGGGTTACAGAGTGGGAGGGTTTCAGCTGTTAAGGACTTGTTGTTTGCAGCAGAAGAAAAGAGATGCTACAGATTGCTGAGCGAGTGTTTTATTGTACGTGCTGGGGTGAGACACTGGCAGCATTGCCGCTGACACCTGAAACCTAAAAAGCGGCACAGGAAGGATGTGAGAATCGGCTCCTGTTTATAGTCGACTTCAGGGTCAGTGTTGAATCTGCCTAAGAAAACATTGTTCTTTTCCTCCTCTACCCCCGCCCCCATGTTTGCCTCTTGGTTTCCATGACTTTCAAGACCACAAGAGCTTTTCTACCAACCATGATGAACAACAACCACGGTCACGTTGTCACGGTGGCTTCGGCAGCAGGTCATTTTGTGACTTCTTTCATGGTGGCTTACTGGTAAGTGATTTTAAAATCGGCTCTCTTCATTTTTTTTATTTTTAATTGCGTCTTCTCCATCAGAAAGCACAGAGTAACCGAAATAGTCCTCCTGCTGAATACGGTACGTCCAAAGGACCATGCCAAGGAGGAAAAGAGCACAACAGCCAGCACTTAAGGATGCCTGGAAGTTCCTGCCGATTTGCTTATGAGCTCTGACTGAATCAGGAGCAATGCTTGTATGAAGGAATAGTCATGTGACACATCAGCTAATGCAAGCTTCTTTTTTCTCTCCCTCACTGATCCAGACTTTTGCTTGGCAAAAAAGGTATCCTCTTCCCTTGTCATTCTTAGAAAGTAGCACTCCTGTGAGTTGTTGTAGTGTTGTCAAGTAAACCCCTAATGAGTAGCTTTTGATCTTTCTACCATTGTGGTAGTGACTAGTGTATAGAAATACTTCTGCCATCGTGAGATAAAATTGCTTTTTGACTGCAAAATTACCTTTCAGAAGGCAAAAACATGACGATGCTTACTGTGTTGTGAGCAACCTAACTGATGCAACTGAGAGGTCGATGCATTGCCTATTTCTACTAGAAGCACTCGAGTCACGGTGCACGAACAGAAAAGCTGTTAGATTGCATATTGTCATTCTGTGTCAGATCTAGCCCTCTATAATAGCAGCTCCAGGCGGAGCAATCTTCCCCTGGGAACGCTCCTTCTTAGAGAGTCGCTCGCTGTCGGCAACGTGAGAACTCCCCAGCCAGGGATTTTACTGGGATTACACTGTTCAAATCAACAGCAGTCAGTAAACTGATTCTCTGGTTCAACTTTCTTTGAAGTTGATTTATACTCCTGGCCTGCACCAATTTCTGTGGCAGTAAGTTCCTCAACTTTTGCACGCATAATGCTCCTCTATTTCAAAACTCACACGCGAGTGTCACAAGACGCTCCTGTGTGGCACGAGAAACAGTAGAGGGTTGTTCTCCATTTCTACCCTGCCCATCCTTCTTAATTTTAGAGATTCAGGCTGCGTTCCTTCTGAGACTCTTCTCACATGGGAAAAACGGGAAGTCCATCGATTGAGGCACATTAGTTACCATTTTCTAAGAATTCCTGACGTTCATCTGTCTGTTTGCAGCTAAGGCAACTTTTTCTGAAAGACACCCACTCTGCATGCCACAATTACTCCCCCAAGCAGCAATATCTAATCCAGCACTACACTCTGGCACAGGGAAGGTTAGAATTATTCCCTGCCCTCTCTTCTCAGCTGGATTACATTTTCTTTTTGCCTCCTAGTCAGTACTGTGTGATCTTTTAGGCCATTTCCCTTTGTAGAAAGCTAGAAATAGTATTTCTGCCTTCTCTTCTCATTTGTGCTTTTTCCCCCTCCCGCAGTTCAAGCAAGTTTGCTGCAGTTGGATTTCACAAAGCTCTGACAGAGGAGCTGTCTACCCTGGGAAAGGACGGAATAAAAACTACGTGTCTTTGTCCGGTTTTTATAAACACTGGATTTGTCAAAAACCCCAGTACGAGGTAACTATCAGAACTCTGCCTTCCTGCCCGCCCTTCTTTGCATCGAGGCACTACATACTAGCCCCACCTTTAGGCCTTGTATTCCAACTGACTATATAAAACCGGAGATAAATCGGTATATAGCATTGGCTACAGAAAATCTGCAGTGTCATTTAACCCACATTATGGTTGCATTTGAATTACCTGAGTTTGTGCCCATGTGAAGCATCCTACATCAGCTAGTACCGCCCCTGTTTTACCACCACAGCTCTTACATGTATACTTTCCTGTGTAGGCTTGGAAAGATTTTGGAGATTGAAGAAGTTGTAGAGGCCCTGATGGAAGGAATACTGACCAACCAGAAAATGATTTTTGTTCCATCACATCTAAGCATTGCTTTACTTTCTGAAATGTAAGTAGCAAAAGAAAAAAAAAAGGGGGGGGAACATATCAATGCTAACTACCCGAGTATACAAGCATCAAACTTGTAACATCTGATTCAAGTTTAAGTTTTATTTTATGAGGAAGTGCATTTTGCACTCATGGTAGTAAAAGATATGGTTTGGCAGCATAGAGAAACCCTGGAATGACAGTTGGAGAACAGAAGATGTTGTTGTTCAACTCTGTTTCATTTATTTTGTATTATCTTCAGTGTTTGACATCACTATACTCAGTTATTTATCAGTCCAGATTTTACATCAATATGCCTATAGTAACTAGATAATGTGTAACTGTCTGCAGGAGAGAGTATTATTTTTTAAACAACCACCCATCTGAAATATTTTAGTGTAAGAACACCACATCACAAGGTAATGAAAGAGCAGCAGTTCTTTCTAATGACAACAGCAGACATCATGCACAGATTTTTTTGAGCCCTCTCATAGGTCCTTGTGATCCACCTTCTGCAGCTAACTATTCTCAGTGGAGAACTCAACTGCTTTACAGGCTGATAGGGAAGGAGAGGGAGAACAAGAGAACACTTTCTCTTCACAGATCTCCATTTCCCTTGGGCTTGCAAATGAGAGTTTCTCTGAACCACCAGCCCCAGCGTAGTTCCAGACAGAGCTGAGGACCTGCTGCTTATTAGTGTTTGTTTCTTCATGTCAACACCAAAGATTGAGGTCACAGAGGCTGGGAAAATTGCTTCAAAAGGGCTCTACTGCTTCTCTCTGCCATGTAAAGCAAGATTTGCTCTCTCACATGTCTTTAATGTCCAGAGTAGTTGCTCTGCTGAGGAGGCGTTTTTACCAGAGCTCAGGTTCCAAGTCTGGAATTCACATCAGGACAACTAAGTTAACTTTTCAGTTAACTTCTACAGTATTTCATTAAACACTTGGTAATATCTTGTTTGCAAAACCCAACACCAGACAGTGGTAAAAAGCTTTTAAGTCTTTTTGCATCTCCAAGAGCTGCATGCTGACGGTACAAGTCTGTAGAAGCACAGACAAGTCAAACATAGCGCTGCCAAAGCCCTTAGCATAACTTTGCCTTTTTGTCTTAATTTGGGGCAGGGAGACACAAAGAGACACGACTCATAAGAGAAAAAATCCTAGGAGAGGAAACTGCACGTCAGTTTTAACATCTCATCCTTCCATAGGCCTGCTGCTTTTCAGCGCATGAAACACTCAATACACACCTATCTCTGTTCAATACTGAACCTTCTTGGATGCTGCAGCAATATTGCAACCCAAATACTGCCAAGTAGATACCCAGCCTTGGAACTATCATAAAAGGAGATGGGTGGGATTTGAGTTAAACGAGACAGAGATCGATAAGGGCTACGTATTCTTTGGAAATAAAACCCTGTTTAAGCCTTGGTCTCAGTCTGTGTGTGCACGCTTCCACTCCCAGACCAGCTCTTCCCTCACCTGCAGTGCCACTTTTTCCCATAATTTAAGTTTCTTATCCCACATTTAATTTCAAGTTCTCTCTTTCAGGTTGTTTCCAGAACGTGCCGTGGCTGTTCTGAAAAAGCTGACCAATGCCAAGTTTGATGCAGTCGTTGGGCAGAGAAGCACCCAGTGAAAAGCAAAAATTGATTCTCATTTCCCAGTGGCACGAGTGAAAACAGAACATGTGTGAGCATAGTTCAGCTGGTTCAATTCAGAGCAGAACTAAGACAGATGCTTCCAGGCCACCATTTCCAAGCACACCTAAGGGCTTATCCCACACCTGCAGCAGGGACTTACCCACATAACATGGAATGTTAACAAGCAGAGATGCAGCTCTAGAAGTCTAAAGGGCTGCTTTGGCTGTATGTCACATCGTCTCCATCTCCTAGTGCTGAGGCAGACAGGAATTCCCACAAAGCCCATCTTTGGGACAGCACAGCTGCGTACTTGAGTGCAAAGGGATTGCCTGAGAATATGTTAATCTGGACTCATCCCTGAGCAAAGGTATCTTGCAAGAAGCAATTTATAGAGGAGGTGGATGGCCTGTTTCACCTCAATTTTTCTCTTTAAATTTAAAAAAAAAAGTGCTCTAATGAACACTCACAGTTTTGTGTGCTTTTGTAGCGAGTACCTGAAATAATACAGCCTTGTTTGTAATGTAATACCTAATTACATCGATTATCAATTATGCATTAGCACCATCAACACTCCTTATTCCAAATAAATACAGTTCTTTAACACAAAGGTGTCTCTCAGCAATGAAAGTGGTAACCAGGTCTGAGCAAGGACAGCGGAGCAGGTGCCGCAACGGTGAAAGGGTCAGCCAGAGTCTGCCGACCACCAGGCCAGGCTGCAGGGACGAGGCAGGTCCCCGGTCACACCAGGAAGCCACATCAGGATCAGCGAGGTACAGGGCCAGGCATGGCACACCGACACCACAGCCCACGCAAGGGCCGGGGCCAAGGCCAGGGCTTAAAGGCAGGTGCCAGGCCAGGGGGCAGAGGGTGCACAGGGGAAGGCTCCAGATGAGCCTTCTCACAGCTCCTCATCACAGGCTAGCGGCCTGCTCTGACGGGACCCACCCTGACCAGGAGGTTAAACCCCCAAAGGTCTTTGGCCTGTGGTACAAGACAACAGCACCTGATGAAACACAGGTCAAAGACCTCTACAGAGCACAGATTATCTTTCCACCTACTTGTGCAACTCCTGACTGCGCCAGGCACTTGCTGGCTCACAGACATCCAAGGGAGGCCTGAACACGCTGCCACCTTCGGTACAGCTGGAAATGAAAAAAAAAGAAGGGGTTTGCAACATTCAGGGCATCAAAAAAAAGTTAAAAGCCAATTAAAGAACAATTAGGCATGGTTTCCATTTAAGACCAAAGCCAAATTCTGTGTTTTGTGCTGGCCCTGCTTTTTTTTGAGCTGTATATTGCCCTCTTGCTAAGATGACAGTCCTGTCACATATATGAGACACTTGAAGCCAGAGAACATCTGTTTGGCTTTTTCATTATGTTCACTTCCACCTATTCTTACCTAGTGAGGAGTCAAAGGGTCTAAAATACAGATGCTTCAAAAGCCCTTCAGAGGGAGCAGCATACTGGCCAAAATGTTTATTCTTAACACTGGAACCTAAAGGCTAAATCAGTACTTATTTGTACGTATTTGGCAGTTGTCTCTTGTACTGCTGGTAAACATTCTTAACCTTCCACCCAGCTTAGCCTCTCCTGGTACACACCTTTCATGTTTCTGTTATTTCATGGCTTGAATCCTTGCTCAAAGGAAGGGCACAGTACAGTCCAATAACTCCAAAGAAAAAGCTCAAAAAGACAGCCCCCAAGATAGACAAATCAACATCCTGATGCGTAGGGTCTCTTCTCAGGCAGGGGAAGAACTGGCTCCAATAGGACACATCAGACAAGACATTTGACCTCTCCTGGCCCGTTATCCCCACTAGCCCTGCGCATCATTCAGATTCTGATGGCAGCATTAAACTGGAAGACAAAAATCCATCTAGGGAATGATAGACAGCACTCTCCTGCAGAATCTGTTTCTCAGCACACTTGCACCTAAGGAAAGGGAGACTGTGTTCACTCCTGCTTTGCCAGATCTAGTCCAGTCTCTCAGAACCCAGAGGAATTACCAGGCAATGCAACTTGTGCACTATCCATAAGGGGCTACGGTTCCTCTCTCTGTCTCCTATGGCTACAAGTCTTCTGCCTGGCATAAAGAAACAGACACAAAAGGAAGGATTTAAACCTGCATCTCCTGAACACCAGTGACAGAATTGAACCATCAAGCCTCCTAGGCTCTCAGTTCTCTTTCTGACCACAACAGACAACTGAAGCTTATCCCAAAGTCTGGTCATTGTGGGTGCCTAGCAGGAGCCTATGTGAGCCAGCCTCATATAGGCGCCTACAGCTAAGTCCCAAATTTGAAGAGTAATACCTCACATCCTGACTTCGGACTCCTTATGAGTCGGGTTAGTGACTCTGGCCTCGTGCTCTGCCTTCCTCTGAGGTGTCTCTTGGAGTCAGCGCTTCTCTGCCCTCCCTGCCTCCTCCGTCTCGGCCACAGCACTGACTGGAGCCCCGTGCCAGGAAAATGACAGCACCGCTGAGCTGTGCAATTAGGGTCTGGCCCAAACGCCGATGTGTTAATTAAGAACAGAACGAAGTTCCAAGAGAAAAGTAGGAAGTGTCTAGCACTGAATCTCTCTGCTGGAGTCAACCCAGTCTCCCGCAGACAAGATGAGCAATGGTGCAGCCAAACCACCAGGACAAAAAAGAGATCCTTTTCAACAACTCTAGTCTTAACTGGAGATCAATTTTGGTCAGAGGACAGATGTTCATGCAACCTTCATTCTTCCCCAAGCGGCTCAAAAATATCCTCCAGTAAAATTATGAACACGACCTGGATACATCTAGCTTTCTAACTGAAAAGCAAAGGAGTAAGGTCAGCAATCCTTTTCAAATAAGACCATGAAGTTACATTGTTAGAGCCAGATGAACAATTAGTTTCAGGTGTTCTCCCATTTCCTATACGCATTCCTGTTCGCATTCCTGTTCCGATTAAGGTTCTGGATACTCCATTACACACAAACAAGTCCAAGTGTGAGTTGTGTAATTTAGACTCAGTTACATAAGGATGACCCAGTTCATGCAGTCAATGCCATTTTCCAAAGGACTTGAGAAAACTAAGCAGCCATAGCATAAGATGGAAAGTCTGGCTATGGATAACTAATTAAAAGACAGAATAAGAGGGAACAGCCAGCCAAGAACTCACCTGTGGAACCCCACAAGTTGAAAAGACTTGTGCCACTCAGCTTTTGTTAAGTGACCTGGAAAAGGAAGGTGGGGGAAAAAGTCTGCTGACAATGCACAGGTATTCAAAGGAAGGAAGAACTTGGACTCACCATGAAGAAAACTGCTCAAACCTCATGAGACTGAACAGTCGTACAGCAGGATTCGAGACAGAATTACAATACAGAGTTTATGGGACCCTCAAGGTGTTTTTGCCAGTAACTGGATGAGCAACTTTATTGCCACTTCCATCCCTCTTCCACCTGCAGCAAACAACAAACAAGAACATGCTTTGCTGCTACTTGACACAAGGGCCTGGGAGACGAACAGCAAGGCGCCTGTGCTGTCACCTGTGCGGGGGCAAACAAAGCAGAGAAAGAACAGTCACGGGGGGACCGACGGATGCCGTCCGGCAAGATCGATCGCAACCAAGGGCAAAACACTTGAGTTTTTCACACACCTCTACCAACTGTGTTTTCCTCAGCCAAGGGGGCAGAAACCGCCCGAGAGTCACATTTCTGTAGCCACGCTGAGAGCAGCAGCTCCTTTGAGAGCTACCTCCAGCACATCCCATCAGCTGCAACGCTCACTGAGCTGCACTTATGCCTATCCACAATGAGAGGATAAGTAAGCCTTCTGCTAGAACAGAATGTACATGCAGGCTGCAACACCTCCGAACGGCTCACCCAGCACCAGCACAAGGCCACAAACATCCACCATTGCCTTCAGTAGAGAATTAAGAAGAACTACCAATAGTTAAAGCAAAAGCTATCTAAGCAAAGACAAAATAAAAACAGCATTTCTTTTACTTTCAAGGACAACTCCGTATCATTGGCAGCCTTCTGAAAAGGGGAAGAAGTAAAATGCATTAGGATGATTTTCACAATGGTTCTATCTTCAGCATGGCACTTCTTAGCCTGCACCTTTGTTAACTATGCAATCTTTTCTGAATGCTTTATTTGTGTAAAATAGCATGTACACACAGATCCTGCTGGTAAAAACACCATTAAAACAGAGCATACACTGACAAAAAAAAGAGGAGCCTAACCCCACCTCCTCCTATAATATACTAGGCCAAGTCAGTATTTCTTACAGAGCAAAAGCAGGCACACTGCTTTTTTTTTTTTGCAGTTGAGTCATTATGACAAAAAAGCCTATTCCTGCAATTTGACGTGCCTCATCTAAGGCCTTTTGGCATATTATGTATACAGTATCAAAGCATCATGTAATCCTTTCAGTTTTTACATTAGTTACTGAAGATTATTTGTATAATGTATTTCTACTGAATTACATTTCCTGGGTTGTTTTTTTTTTTAAAAATCTGTTT